CTGATCATACCTGGTATCGGACCCTGGTCTGGATAAAGATTGTTCTGGCCTTTCTTCTACCACTCCTTGTCATCTCTTGTTGCTACTGTGCTATTGGTAGACATTTGTTGGTTGATACGGGGTTGGTAAGAATGCAGAATCTGTCTCACCCACACAGCATGTCATCCTTTAAATCACTACAGTCCCACGAGGGCTATAGTAAACCGGAGAGACCCCCCACCCCTTCTGTGAATCCCAGGTTAAGTGGGGCCAGACCCCTGGAGGGTAGGGGGCTTGAAAGGGTATTGTGGACAGTAGCTGCAGTGGTTCTGGCATTTTTCCTCTGCTGGTTCCCCTTCCACTGCGTGACCTTTTTGGATGTGCTCTATAGTGAAGGCTGGTTGGACAGCTGCTGGGTAAGCTGGAGCATCCAAAACCTCACCCCTCTCACACTCTGCCTGGGTTTCTCCAACTCAGCCATCAACCCTGTGCTCTACTGCTTCATTGGGAACCATTTCCGTGGCCGTCTAGGAGGCTTATGCAAGGGCCTGTGTGCTTGTTTAAAGGCCCGAGGGGAAGAACACAGCCAGAAGAGGGGCTCCTTCAGCACCAGGCTGAGCTCCTTCTCTCGAAAACTCAGTGACCTCAAAGACTTGGCGATTGTGGAGCCCTCTGGCTCAGCGTACCTGCCCCAATTCCCAGCCCTGACTCCAGCAAGGAGACTTTCTCATCCCCTCAGTGATAACTGCTGAACACCAATGAGCGTGGCTGTGTGAGACAGAGCTGTTACTAAAACTAAGTCAAATTGTAGCAGAGGTCATTTCTGCTTTACAAAAAATAACTGTAGATAAAACATTTTTTCCACACTTGATTTGGACAGTCATCAAGAATCTCTTGTGAGTCACTCACATGACGTCATTTCTGGCTGCAGCGGGAATCATTTTGGAAAAACAACATTGTCAAAACTTAATGTACAGTACCTGATAAGAACCAAACAGCTGACAGACACAGTTTGTGCCTAGCAACTGAACAGAGTGGCACAATTAGCAGCTAATGAAGAAGATATTCCCCCTGGAGTTGCTAGAAACTACAAACAAAGCTAAAACATAACAAATACTGCATATGAATTCACCATCTGGATATAAACACAAATCTAAACAAATGATCATATCTCTGTCCATAGCTGCTGTATATAAAGATGATTTATTCACAGCTTGTTTTATAGCCTCGCAGAATAAAAAAAATCTGTTAGCTATAAGCAGTGCAAGCTACATCTATGCTAATTTAAGACTTTTAAGCATTGCTTTAGTTTTTATGTTCCTCTAGCCCAAATTACTATGAAATATAAGAAACTACATTGTGTTGCTGTGTTTCTATGTTGGGTAATCAGACCACATTATTTAAAAGTCTAGTTGATAATTTTGCGTTAGCCTATGCTAGCTCTAGACATCTCACTAGCTAGTATTAATTTAATAGTATGCTTTTTAAGTGTGGTTTGTTCTTATACAAATGTTATATCCTATATTTTTCTAAAAGGAAATATCTCATTGTATAATAATATTTTATATTAAATTGTTTGTTTGTTTTTTGTAAAGGAAAACAAGCTAAAAACAAATACATTAATTTCACAAAAGGGTCTACTTTTCCTCTTTTGGGGGGACCAAAGTATCATGTGTACTTGACATTTATCTGTATGTATTGGGAAAAGAAATAAAGCAAAAACCACTTTCCATATGCCACTTCCTTTGCTTGATACAGTTCTCCAAAATGACTATGCCTTCCGTTTTGTGAAACCCGATCAATTTACTAGAGATTTCAAATGTTCCTTTTCCCCCGTCTTACCCTCTAACAGCTGTGACTCCGAGCTTTCCCCACCTGGGAATATGAGAGCTGAGATTACTGTCAGCCTGGCAGATGGACATCCAGTCTCCCCTTCCAGAAAACCTCACACAAATTCCACACATATCAAGGCCAGATATCATAATCTCATACTAATATCCTTATGATGCATTCCAGTCCAGCTGCTTGTGTTGGTTGAGGGAGCCTGCAGCTGATCAATGATATATCTCTGCCTGCTATTTGTGTCCAGTATAGATTTGCTGCATTCTGCATTGACCCTGGGCTGTCTCTCTGTGAGCTGAGAGCCAATACAACATGGAGTAATTTTGTTCCGGACTGGTGGTTGCAAGGAACTTTTACAAGCAGGAAAGCTAAATTAATAATCACTGAAAGGCTTTATTATGAATAAATGGTAAATTCTTCTTTTCTATCTTGAATGGGTTTTTTTTTTTGGGGGGGGGGGGGCTGCTAATAAATAAAGTGAGGAAAACTTCTTCAGTCTACTTGAAAAACATGAATATTTCCTGCTTTTTGCCACTGGGTGGCGCTAAAATGCTGCAGAATCATTGAAAGAGATGCCATTGGCTGCTAACCCAGTCAAAGGCCCAAAGTCCCACTGCTCATGATCTTTCTGAGCCGAGGGAAAAATGGCTCTGACACAGACTGATGACTCATGTAGGCTACACTTCTGAATGTATAAAAACAGACACCCGCGACAAAAGCCGCATTAAAGAGAGCCACCCACTTGGAGAATACGCTGAATGCCAGAGTCACATGGGTAACCTTTCTGAAGGGTTTTTTCTTGCAGAAGCTTTTTGGTGATGTGAAGGACACCATGCGGTCAAGAACAGCATTCAGTCCTGCAAATAAAAAAGCCTACATCTGAACATGACAGATGAGCTCAGAGTACCAGACGCCGTGCTATCAGCAAATTGACGTTTCCTGTGGTAATGTCACCGCAGTAAACATTGAATATTTTAATCACCAGACTCTTAATTTGACACGACAGAACTTTCCTACTGATGGGACAGATTGCTGGATGAGTTTGTTGTACGCGCAGCTTCATTAGCTGATTCCTCGCTCTTCTACAGAGCAGGTGGGAGTGTCTTTGAACACACGTTAAAGCAGAAGACAGACTAAGTGATATGTGGCTGAGGAGATGTGTGGACATGTGATGAGAAAATGCATGCTGAGAAATACCGAGAAGCACATTGCTTCGGGGTTTTTTTCTCCCTTCCTTTATCTGCTTTAAAATGTCTTCCTCTGACATATCAGTTTAATTCAGCTGAGCACCCAAGTGCAAATTAGACTTTTCTTTCTTTTCTTGTCTCCTCTTTATGTGTTCCATTACAAGTTAAAGTAGAGAAATAATAAGAATTGCTGAGATTTTTTTTTGCCACGCATCAAAGGGAGGCAGGCCAGTGGTGGGAAAATAGGACGAATCTGCCCCTTTATTAAAACTGTCAACGCCGAAATGAGCTGAGGTTTTAACACATCATGTCACATAAACTTGTAGGTGGAAGGCTTTTTGGAAAAAAAAACGTCACAGCGAATCTAATCTTGAAATATTGTCATTTGAATCTTGAGCAAGTTGAGGTGGCAGTTAAAAAGAAATATTCTGAGGAGGTTACAGCTCCTGGTCTCAGGAAACTTGGATATGCATTTAAAAACATTTATAAAACAAACTAGTGAAAATAAGCGAGAATAGCTGCAGTGCACTGCTGTGAGCTGTATGTAGTTATTATTTTGAACTACTTTATAGTTCCACTTTTTGCAGTAATATAGTCACTGGCCTCTTTATTAGGTATCCTTTGTTAGTACCACGTTGGACCACTTTTTCCTTTAAAACTCCCTTAATTCAACGAGGTGCTGGAAACATTTCTCAGAGATTTTGGTCCATATTGGCTTGACATCACACAGTTACTGGAGATTTGTTGGTGGACCGCTGTGATGCAGATCTGAGCCCACTGTCATAATCAAGAAACCTTTCATTTTTGTGAGATGTTATCCTGCTTGGGTGCACTGTGGTCACAAACAGATGGACATGGTCAGCAACAACACTGAAGTCGGCTGAGGTGTTGAAATGATGCTCAGGTGGTACTGAGGGGGCCAAAGTGTGCCAAAGAAAATACTTCCCACACCATTACACCACCAGCAGCCTAAACCACTGATACAAGGCAGGATGGAGTCTTTGCGTCATGTAGTTTATGCCAAATTCTTACCCTACTGTCTGAATGCTGCAGCAGAAATAGAGACTCATCAGATAAGGTAATGGAAGCTGTGGTCTTATGCTGTGGTAGCCCATCTTAGATCAGCAGAAACGCTCAGATCAGCCTCTGACACCAACAATCACCCCACATGCAAAGTCATTTAAATCAACTTTCTTTCCCATTTTGAAGTGTTTACATTTTAGAGGTTGTCTTGACATATTCTTCATGCTTAAAATCCCTAAATGAGCAGGTGTACTTAATAAAGTGGCTGGTGAGTGTATACACAATGTAACTAGGCATCAGTTATGTTGACAAATTTATCTGACATTCCAACAAATTTCACAATTACACTAAAAACAGAAAAGATTTGAGAAATTAAAATAGTTGCCATTTTTAATAAATCGTCTAAATGTGTAAAAACAAGCTTGAAACTTTTAAAAGAACAGCTGTGCTATTTTCATTTGTTAAATCAATTTTGTTGCGTATTATTGATTTCATTTATTATTTTTCAAACTGTTTTTAAAAACTTAATTAGGAATTTTAAATCATTCTGATATATTCTACATGTTTTTTTTAACAAGCACGTATAATTAAGGATCTGAGCACAACTTCCATGGCTGCCTACATATTGTGCCACACAATTCATAGAAGTTGTTTCAGAGCCATAGAGTCTGAGCAAACTTCTGCTGACAAGAAACCAAATTGAGACTGGAAACAGTGCGCGTTAGTGCATCATCACAGCATACGTTTTTCCTATGTGAAAAAGGGCGAGATTGCTTCACTTTATCCCTCTGTTGTGCTTTCTTCTGTTGTGGAAATGTTCTGTTAGAATCTTTTATGTTATTTCCTGTCAAAAAAGAAAGAAAAAATAGAATCATTTCCTGAGAGATAGACAAACCCACACTTTACTTGTGCGTGTGTGTGCGTGCTCATATGTGTGCGTGGTATAAAGAAAGAGGAAGACTGTAAGAGCCAACCCAGAAAGGTTAGAGGTTAGTGAGAGAGCTGCTATCACTGTAGGTAAACAAGTGTAGAGAAATCAGAGAGCTCGTACGCCAAAGCTCAGGCTCCCTGAGCAGATATTTGAACCGGTGAGAAGCGGGGATCGAAGGATAGGCTAGACAGCTTGCCTTACCTGTGCTCCCAGTCCAGAGCATATGCAGCAAAGGCAAGAAAAAGCTTTCCTGTAGTAAAGAGGGGAAAAAAGGTAAAGTGGGGAAAGAGACACGTTGGGAGCAGAAGAAAAAGAGCATCTGGGGGAATAACTGTGATGGAAAACCTGCCCGTCTATCACGGACCCATCGGCAAGGACGAGGGAGAAAGGCGGCTGGGCCAGGACGGCCGAGACGGGTGCTACCTAGTCCGCAACAGTGACACCGTGGAGGGTGTCTACTGCCTGTGTGTGCTGTGAGTACAATCAAAGAAAAAAGTGCAACATCTGCTTTTGTTCTACTTCTCTAGGCTGAGACCTCATAATCACATCAACACATACAAAATCCTATTTTGTGCAGTTATAGAGATTATCGATCCCCTCACGTTTAGAGAGAAATGCAAGCGCAAAGGCAATACGGCAACCGGCTGAGTAATAAGTAACTGTGGTCTCTTAATAAGCATCAAATAAAGATTCCCAAAAGGAGAAGTGATAGTGACAGTAAGAAGAAACACTGAAATACAAACCCATGTTTCTGTTTGTGTGTGTTTGTATGCAGATGCCAAGGCTACGTCTACACATATAGAATCCACAGAGATGATGCAGGCTCATGGGCAGCAGACGTAAGACATTTTACTATTAAGATTTCTTTTTTCATCCTGCGACTCGCTCTTTAGTCTGTGCTGTGCCTCTTTTCACTCCATCCCCTCCCCAGAAAAGTTCGCAGAAGCAGCTGCACACATCTGCTTCGCTTATTGGTTTAGAAGTAGTTTTGGTGCTGGTTGTAATTCAACAAGCTGCGGAGGCACAAACATGTGTTTCGTTTTTTTGAGGAGTGACACCACTGAGAAATGGGTACGCTTCTGCTTTAGCAATAACACCCAGTGAAATCCATCTCCCACCAACCCCCACCTCGAATTTTGAAGATGCCACAGCATCAGCATATACTCCAGAGACGGAGTGGGGGGGGGGGATATTGCATTTGACAGCATTTCTGATGGGATGTGTAATTGAGCGCCGAGGGGTGGCGAACACCCCGGGATTGGGAATGTATAGAGACGTCTGAAGGCCGCGTCTATCTCCGACTGAGCGCGACGCTCTCGTAGCGACATTTTAACCTCGCTCATTCTCACTGATGCCATCAGGCGAGCAGATGGGGATGGATTGAGAGATTGAAGGAGAGCGGTGTGCGTGTGTGTGCATGTTTGGGTTTCGGTGTGGAGGCTTGAATTACAAGAATTTCCCTACAAGCTCGATAACAGTTTCCATTATTCATGCGCAATATCAATCACTCTAATGAAATATTCTCGGGAGCAGAGGTAACACTTGTGGCCGGAGACAGGAAACATCCAAAGTGCTGTGCTGGGCGGGAGAGCTCCCCACATTTGATTAAATGATATGTTTTTTTCTTAAAAAAAAAAACATATCGAAAGAAAACCGTTTTCACCGTTGTACTTATTTATTTATTTGCAGTTTGATTGATGGGGCCGAATGAAAACACATAATGTATTTTTTTTAAAGGCCTTACTTGACAAAATTATAGCGCTGTAGTGGTTTAGGAATATTAAACGCTGGAGTGACAGCTGTGGGCAAACAAACAAGTGCAGGGAGGGGGTGGAAAGAATAGAAAAAGAGAAAGATGAGAGCGTTTTCAATTAGAAATAATGCAAAGCTCCCTGTGAGAGAGAAAAATGACTTTACTAAGCTATCATCATTTCTTTAAAAGATATTTGTGTGTGTTTTCTAAGTTTTATTTCAGTGCTTCTCTGTTACAAATAAGGCTCTTGAGATTACTGGACTGTTAAAGCATCTTGTGGTGCATTAATCCTAAAATAATGCTTTTTATTGACTTAAAAACTATCTAAAATACCCACAGGAGAGGATGTTTTCATAGGTAATTGCATCCCGTATATTCCCAGTGTAGCTTTTAAACTCCTTGAGTATATCATCAGTATGTTTCCCTCCCTTCCACAGCACGTGTTTTTTTTTTTGTTTTTTTTACAGCTCTTATATATATTTTATCTCTTCTGCCTCGTCTTATTTATTTATCTGTCCTTTTACTTTGGATTACTGAATCCAGATATGCAAAAAATGTATAATTGACACCATCCCCAGTCCATCCCCGAGACGCACTTGTATTACTGCCGCCACTGGCAGCGTATCTGATGTCTTTTTATAAGGTAAAATCTGCGAGAGCTCATTTCAAGGCGGCTCTGTCCCGTCCTCTTCATCTCCCCACTGGGGTTTTGATGTGGAGATGGGGAAACGCTCTGAATTCTCTGCACTTCTACTTCTTCTCTCTCTCTCTCTCATGTTTCAGACCACTCCTGGTGTGCAGAAACGATATTTCCGGCAAATCAAGAATTTGATAGCAGCTTTCCAGAAGCCTGGACAAGGAATTGCCGTGCCTCTGCTCTACCCTGTCACCGCTCAGAGACGGGCGCAGACACACACAGAGGAGCCCTGTAATAGCCCGTCGACGACGGAGAGCAGCCCGAACCCTTACTTCCAGCAGCGGATGCCACATGCTGCACAGGGACAGAAAAACAGGAACAAGAAGGAGGTGCGACAAGCTTTTGGTTAGGGGCGAACCCTAAGCTGCACCACTGACCTCATTTCTAAGCAGAAATACTGCCAGGGCACCATTCCTGCTGTTTGCGTTTTTTGCATAATGTGCATCAAGTAAATGTCATTCCCCCCCCCTATTTGCTACATTGAGCTCATTTAGGCTCCAGCAGTGACTCAGATCTCAGCCTCCTTCTACTTTTTTTTTTTTTTGCATATGCAGCACAGAAAGCGCAACCCCCCCTCTCTCCTCCCCTCTTAACTTTCTGGGATGTAAAAGATTCAGCTGCAGAACCATTAATATCCATTACCGCATACATAAGCTGACAACAAATATTGTGCTCTGTTTTCTTAATGCAATAGAGTTGTGTGAGCGGCAAAGAAAATAAATGATATTGGCTGAAATAAACTCTTTTAAATAAGGTCATGCACACACAGCCGTACACACCCGAGCCTGCGTTTGACATAATGCTGAGGGGAAAGGGGGGGGGGGACGAGAGAAAAAAATTCAATTTGACATATTGGAGTGCTGATTTCCACAGAGAGAATGCTGACTACTGGTGTGTGTGCATGCGTGTGTGTGGGTCCATCATTCACTCGTCTGATTGGCATTACATGATGAAAAAAAAAATGAGAGAGAAAGCGGAGCTGAAAGAGGAGAGCATCCATTCAGCGCAGACAATTCTTCAGTGCAGCGGTCTCCTAGCAACCGGACCCTCCATCTTTTCACCGCGGAGATGAGGTTGGACAGTATCTAACGGAGCATATGGTTTCGAAGGGAAGGTGCATCGCAGCCGATCGGCAGAGTGCTAGTCGGGAATGTATATCACCTGCTCGCAGTCAGAACATATGCATTGTGTGTGTGTGTCTGTCATCCGCGGCCCGGGAGAGGAAACACAAACAATTAATGGTGGGCAGATGGTGGAGCGACGGCGGGAGGCGAGTGTGTGTGTGTGTGGGGGAGGCGATGGGGGAGGCAGACGGACAGGGAGGTGGATTAGCAACATTTAAAGAAAAAAAAAAAGTTCTTTACTTTCTTTTTTAAACTTTTTTTTGTGGGGAGAGGCTTGGAAGTGGTTCACATGTAGTCTGATTGGCATTTCCTAATGAGAGGAGACAAGCTGGAGAGAACAGCTCAGCCAACTCCAGGTCCTGCCCCTTCTGCACTCACCACCCACTCGCTGAGCCTCAGCTGTCACATTTCTTTTTCCCTTTCCTCTGTGCTTTTCTTTTTTTCTTTCCCTCTTTCTCCCCTCCTCCCCTTTCTTCTTCTTCTTCTGCTCCCTCTCCTCTGACAGACGACGCAGGTTTTCTCGTGCATATCTCGGTTCGAGCCATAATGATGGGTGATAATGACAGCACAGATTTGAAAAGTTACAAACTCCCAGAAACAAGAACAAAGAGAGCACAACAAATGTGTGGCGGGGAGGCGCGGAGACGACGTGAACGAGAGCGAGCGGAGGAGAGGGGCAGAAATAACAAGTAACAACGTCTATGAAATCCCAGCCAGCGATTTTGGTAATTCACACATAATAACTTTAATCAGCTTTGTAACCCAATAAAGTCAGATTTTTCAGCGAGAATATTTACTATAGCCATGTATAATTCTTTGCAAAAATGTAACTGTTTTTCTATTGATTAACAATACTGACACTTATGAACAACAGAACTTCCAGTTGAGCACTTCTTTTTTTCAGTGTGAGAAAGCACTGGCTATATACATTCTTGATTTTTAAGTATACACACTCATACAAACTACTGTTGGAGCACACCAGAGGCGGAAAACCACAAGAGCTTTCCTTCTCTAAAGGGGGGAAGTGTCAGAGTCGACAAGGCCTCTCTTACACAATATGTAAACGATAGTATATCCGAGGTAAACCATGTAGGAACTCAAATGGCAAACCGAAGAGCTCTCGATTCGAGTCACGAAGAGGATTATTCACTGGCAAGATCCTAAAAGTCTTCTTCCCTACAGTGCCGTGATGTTGAGCAGAGTCCAGAAAATGATGAACAGTGTTGAAACAGCGAATGGCAGTCGGTCGGTCGGCGAGTCGGTCGGTCGGCGAGTCGGTCGGGTTGATCAGAGATACAAAAAAGCAAAGCCACAGCCAAACCACACTGCTTGTGCCACTGTTAGAAATTGGAGAAACTGGACGATAATAATAAAATACCATCATTTTGTCACAATTAAAGGCATTTGGAAGTTTTTTGTTTTTTTTCCCCACACATTCGCTCTTCTTCTTCTTCTCTGATGTCGTCTTCTTTTTTCCCCCCCGATACAGTATAGAAACAGTAGAACAAATCAGAGTAGAGTAGAAACAGGCAGTCTTTGGTGGGGTGGGGGGCCGCTCGTGTGTCTCTGTTACCTGCCCCCCACCTCGCTCAGTGTCATAAAGTGGATGTTGGAGGGGCAGTCAGACAGCTCCGGCTGCTGCTCTATAGGCAGGGAGTAGTAGCCGTCGTAACCCTGAACGCGTCCCCCAGACAGCAGCTGCTGCTTCTCAACCTCGCTCCACGCCCTGCTCCCGGCATCTCCCGCTTCCACCCTCCTTCTCTCCTTCTCCCAAGCTCCCTCCACTGCCCTCTTCCTCGCCTCCTCCCTCACCCGCGCCCTCTCCTCCTCCTCGCTCCCACCGTACCGCACGCACAGGCACAGAGACCCCTGCTGGAGAGTGATGTCGGCAAAACGCCGAGTCCTGCCGTTCACCGTCGCGCTCATTTGAGACACGCTCACGTTCACGCCGCTCTCCAGGACGCGGCCCCCGACTCCCAGCCCCAGGGCGAGATCTTCCTCGATCGGCCGCGACTGGAGGAAGTGGTGGGTGTCGCAGCCGTGCACGGTGAAGCTCATCCCAGTGAGGTGGATGGCGCCGTTCAAGATGGCCGCGACTCGGCGGCTGTCCTCGCTGGCCACTCCAATGACCTCCGCGCTCACTCGGCCGTGAGAGACTGCAAAACGGATGCTGGGGCCGAGGATGGAGGGCCGGGAGCCAAAGGGAGGGGGGTGCGCCGGTCGGTGGCAGGTGGAGCCCACGGGCTCAGAGACCAGAGGTAACCTCTCCAGGGAGATGAAACTCCTCAGCTGGCGCCGCAGCTCGCACTGGATTCCCAAAACCAACTAGAGAAAAACAGACGGACTCATTTATTACAGCGTTCTGCGTGACGTACAGAAACACACGATCCACACTAGATATTTAGACACGTAGAAAACATGAAGCACTTTGAGAGGCAAACCTCCACCAAGACACATCACTGTCTGGGCAACTTTTAAAAAAATAGCATCATATTTTATTTGCAGTTTGCGTGGCTGCTTTTAAACCGACTTTAGGACGTTTGGAAATGCAGTAAAAACAAGTGCAAAGTGCTTTTTATTTTATCTGTTGTGTTGAAAACTATTTTAATATACTTCACATACTTTGGAGTATATATTTTTTTATTACATTTTATTGTTCAGTAAATTCCTTTTTAATATTTAGTAATGAAAAAAAATTATTTGATCACACATTTATTAAAAAAATAAAATAAAAAATTTAATAAAGGGTTATGGATTGTTGCTGTAATATACAAGACAAAATTAACAAACTATTCTCAAAAAGTATGACATCATATTCTGGTCAGAGTGAAAACGTATCGTCATTTTACAGAAATTTACAATTTTAAAGAAATGTGCACTGATGTGTCATCACACAGACAACATGTGACAGACGGTGCTATAGGCAGTAGCTTCATACTGGCTAGCTGCCTGAGCACTAGAGTGCCTTTAACACTACTGATAATGTCTATTAGACATCAGCAAAGAAAGTCAGATAAGGCTACTCGGATTACACAAACATTATGTAGGAGCAGGTCATGGATACTAAAGTACTAAAGTACTAATGTAAATAACTGGACATGAATAAGCTGAACTCATAATATAATATAATATAATATAATATAATATAATATAATTCTAAAAATATTTTTTTAAAGATGTAACACATTTTGGTATCAACATGAAAGAAAAGCAGATGTGGAACTTAAAAGTGAGATGAGTAATGAATTAAATAATTAATTAACATTATATTTAGAATCTACCCATAATCAATATAATTTCCTTACTGTTGCCAATACAACCAAAGCCAATATTTTAGTCACAGTTTTGAAGATAAGACCTTTTATCAAAGTTTGACCTTATCTGATCTTGAACAAAAGGTCGGTGATATTTAAAATCCCCCCATATCTTTTCTTATATGACGATATGGTGTCAATAAAAACAACAGCAGTAGGAAACATATGTTGAGAATACCCATCACACCATTATTCTTACATTTTTAAGAATAATAGTTTCTATCTTATAAGGATTTTCTCATTAAGTTGACCTTGAAGTCCTCGGTGGATGTAAGAAAAATTTTAATGTGTTAGAGCTACGTCCTACGTGTCTCTGACAGGAAGACAAAACGCCCATTTACATCAACCAGCTTAAAACCCACCAGTTAACACAACATGCGTGTGTTTGGACTGCAGAAGTAAAGACATGCATGAACAGGAAGAACGTGGCCCAGCTTTAAACCCGCAAGGTTTGAACACACTGCAGGGTGGCTGTGGCCTTACCACGCTGTGCACAACGCTATAAAACAGAGACACTGGGACCCTCAAACGCTCGTGCCAATTTACCTTAACGACAATCAGTCTATGAACTAATTAATAAATCAACTAATCATTTCATTACTCGTACTCATTCTGGAGAATATTCTCATAATAATCAACTCAGTGTTGATTTTCATCCATATAGCCGATTAGGAAGAATCACTAAGGTCATAAAAATGGCAGATAATTAGCAGGTAATTTGAGTTTTCATGCTTCTGCGGAGGACTCTCGGTCTGATCTCACATGAAGACCCAAAGTGTTAAACGAATGAGATAAATGAGTAATTATGAAAGTGTTAATCACAAGCACTGACATAGGCTATGTCTCACACAAACACACACATATGTATATATATATCGTTAGCTTCATAGCATAAGTGCCTAAGTCATTTTTTGGTCAAATTGAGATTTTTGCCTAACTTTACTCCCCTACCACTGCTGCATCATCCTGTCCGTCTGCCTATGTCATCACAAAAAAATGACTTAGGCACTTATGCTATGAAGCTAACGATATATATGTGTGACATATCTTTATGAAAATATTGTTTCGCAGTCAGACCCTAGTACATTTGAAAAAATGTTATACATATAGTTTAAATATACAAAGCATTACCACAGGCACACAGTGTTAGATATGAAAGAATCTAGCAGCAGTGTGATGCTCACCTTGCTGGAGTCCCAGTCCTGCATCTTGGTCGGCGCCTTCATCAGTTCGTATGTTTGTTCCATTCTTCCCACCTCAGGCTTTGGGAAACCGGGGACCACGTTATGAAGTTGAAAGCCAAACAGCTGCAGCCAGCTACCGATGTCTGGACAGGAAGAGAGAAAATTGCACGGGAGAAAGTTTAGAATTTAATGTGTATACTGCAAAGCAAACAGACAGTCACGAGGGCAGGGAAAACAACACCTCGTATGGGAAACCACACAATGCATGAGTGCAGCGTGCGGCAGAGACGTGTCTGCTGGTGTGCGCGCGTGTCCCACAAACACACTCCTTGTGTAACAAACAATCCCGCTGCAGGGAAACGTGACAGGCCAAATGAATGTTCTATTAAGCAGAAGGACAGACGCCCCCGCTGACATCCTGTATTCATCTTCTACTCTCCTATCCCATCTCTTTCCCTCGTTTCAGTTTCTATTTTGTCTCTCGGGGAAACAGTATGTTCTTGACAGGCAGAGGGAAGAAAACAGAACTGGCTGTGTTAAAGAACAATGTGATCAGAGGCATGGCTGTCCTTTCTGTTGCCAGTAAATCCTGTCTGTCACAGCTTCACGTCTCTGACACCCAGCACACCTGTGGTTAGCTATGTGGCCCATTCACTCATTCTTTATGGCAGATGTTTCCCCTGTAGGTGCGCGTGTAGGAGTAGGTGTCACTGAGTGATCTATCTTTCTGT